ATTTCTTGATTGGATTATTTGTTCTTTGGGTGTTGAGTCTGATAAGTTCTTTATAGATTTTGGATACTAGCCCTTTAACTGATAATGTCATTTGCAAATATCTTCTGCTATTCTGTTGATTGTCTGTTGGTTTTGTTGACTGTTTCCTTTGCTGTGCAAAAGCTTTTTATCTTGATGAAGTCCCAGTAGTTCCTTTTTGTCCTTGCTTCCCTTGCTTTCGGTGATGTTTCTAGGAAGAAGTTGCTGCGGCTGAGGTCGAAGAGGTTGCTGCCTGTGTTCTCCTCAAGGATTTTGATGGATTCCTGTCTCACATTTAGGTCTTTTATCCATTTGGAGTCTATTTTTGTGTGTGGTGTAAGGAAATGGTCCAGGTTCATTCTTCTGCATGTGGCTGTCCAATTTTCCCAACACCATCTGTTGAAGAGACTCTCTTTTTTCCATTGGACATTCTTTCCTGCTTTGTCGAAGACTAGTTGACCATAGAGTTGAGGGTCCATTTCTGGGCTCTCGATTCTGTTCCATTGATCTATGTGTCTGTTTTTGTGCCAGTACCATACTGTCTTGATGATGACAGCTTTGTAATAGAGCTGGAAGTCTGGAATTGTGATGCTGCCGGCTTTGCTTTTCTTTTTCAACATTCCTTTGGCTATTCGGGGTCTTTTCTGATTCAATACAAATTTTAGAATTATTTGTTCCATTTCTTTGAAAAAAGTGGATGGTATTTTGATGGGGATTGCATTAAATGTGTAGATTGCTCGAGGTAGCATAGGCATTTTCACAATATTTGTTCTTCCAATCCATGAGCATGGAACATTTTTCCATTTCTTTGTGTCTTCCTCAATTTCTTTCATAAGTATTTTATAGTTTTCTGAGTACAGATTCTTTGCCTCTTTGGTTAGATTTATTCCTAGGCATCTTATGGTTTTGGGTGCAATTGTAAATGGGATCGACTCCTTAATTTCTCTTTCTTCTGTCTAGTTGTTGGTGTATAGGAATGCCACTGATTTCTGTGCATTGATATTATATCCTGCCACTTTAATGAATTCCTGTATGAGTTCTAGCAGTTTTGCGGTGGAGTTTTTTGGGTTTTCCACATAAAGTATCATATCATCTGCAAAAAGTGAGAGTTTCACTTCTTTGCTGATTTAGATGCCTTTTATTTCTTTTTGTTGTCTGATTGCTGAGGCTAGGACTTCTAGTACTATGTTGAATAGTGGTGGTGACAGTGGACATCCCTGCTGTGTTCTTGGCCTAAGGGGGAAAGCTCTCAGTTTTTCCCCATTGAGACTGATATTCGCTGTGGGTTTTTCATAGATGACTTTTATGAAATTGAGGTATGTACCCTCTATCCCTATACTCTGAAGAGTTTTAATCAAGAAAGGATGCTGTACTTTATCAAATGCTTTTTCTGCATCTATTGAGAGGATCATATGGTTCTTGTTCTTTCTTTTACTAATGTATTATATCACACTGATTGATTTGTAGATGTTGAACCAAACTTAGAGCCCAGGAATAAATCCCACTTGGTTGTGGTGAATAATCCCTTTAATGTACTGTTGGATCCTATTGGCTAGTATTTTGGTGAGAATTTTGGCATCCATGTTCATCAAGGATATTGGTCTGTAATTGTCCTTTTTGATGGGGTCTTTGGTTTGTGATCAAGGTGATGCTGGCCTCATATAATGAGTTCGGAAGTTTTCCTTCCATTTCTATTTTTTGGAACAGTTTCAGAAGAATAGGTATTAATTCTTCTTTAAATGTTTGGTAGAATTCCCCTGAGAAACCATCTGGCCCTGGGCTCTTGTTTGTTGGGAGATTGATTACTGCTTCTATTTCCTTAGTGGTTATGGGTCTGTTCAGGTTTTCTATCTCTTCCTGGTTCAGTTTTGGTAGTTTATATGTCTCTAGGAATGCATCCATTTCTTCCAGATTGTCTAATTTGCTGGCATATAGTTTCTCATAATATGTTCTTATAATTGTTTGTATTTCTTTGGTGTTGGTTGTGATCTCTCCTCTTTCATTCATGATTTTATTTATTTGGTTCCTTTCTTTTTTCTTTTTGATAAGTCTGGCCAGGGGTTTATCAATCTTATTAATTCTTTCAAAGAACCAGCTCCTAGTTTCGTTGATCTGTTCTACTGTTCTTTTGGTTTCTATTTCATTGATTTCTGCTCTGATCTTTACTATTTCTCTTCTCCTGCTGGGTTTAGGCTTTATTTGCTGTTCTTTCTCCAGCTCCTTTAGGTGTAGGGTTAGGTTGTGTATTTGAGACCTTTCTTGTTTCTTGAGAAAGGCTTGTATTGCTATATACTTTCCTCTCAGGACTGCCTTTGCTGCATCCCAAAGATTTTGAACAGTTGTGTTTTCATTTTCATTGGTTTCCATGAATTGTTTTAATTCTTTTTTAATTTCCTGGTTGACCCATTCATTCTTTAGTAGGATGCTCTTTAGCCTCCACGTATTTGAGTTCTTTCCGACTTTCCTCTTGTGATTGAGTTCTAGTTTCAAAGCATTGTGGTCCAAAAATATGCAGGGAATGATCCCAATCTTTTGGTACTGGTTGAGACCTGATTTGTGATCCAAGATGTGATCTATTCTGGAGAATGTTCCATGGGCAGTAGAGAAGAATGTGTATTCTGTTGCTTTGGGATGGAATGTTCTGAATATATCTGTGAAGTCCCATCTGGTCCAGTGTGTCATTTAAAGCCTTTATTTCCTTGTTGATCTTTTGCTTAGATGATCTGTCCATTTCAGTGAGGGGCGTGTTAAAGTCCCCTACTATTAGTGTATTATTGTCGATGTGCTTCTTTGATTTTGTTATTAATTGGCTTATGTAATTGGCTGCTCCCATGTTAGGGGCATAAATATTTAAAACTGTTAGATCTTCTTGTTGGATAGATCCTTTAAGTATTATATAGTGTCCTTCCTCATCTCTTATTATAGTCTTTGGTTTAAAATCTAATTTGTCTGATACAAGGATTGCCACCCCAGCTTTCTTTTGATGTCCATTAGCATGGTAAACGGTTTTCCATATATTATTGATTTTAAAATACACTGTCCGTCATTTCTTAAACATAATTAAAGAATATATATATATTTTTTCTTAAACTTCCATCTTTCATAAAAATTGTCAATAGTAAAGATGAATGTTAAGATCAGCAGAAAGACAATAAGGTCAATTTTGAGGTCACTAAACAACTCAAACATTTAAAAAAGTAAGTTTTCATGAATTTGTGGTTGACCCATTTAGAACTTACATGTAAATATTCCAAGCTAAGTGTTCAATGAGAAGTTCGGAGTGTTATTAAAATATAAACTCTATTTTAATATATTAACATGTTTGTATTGGGGTAATAGTACTGGTCGCAATGGAGCCTTAAGTTATTCATTATAATAATGGTCAGTAGTTTACAGTAGTTTATTGGTATTGAAGGCAATAGTACTAGACACTCATGAAATTTTGTAACTAGAAGAGAAAAAAAATCACTGAAAATATTTTTTAGTTAGATTTAGAAACTAAGATCCAGAGAGGTCCAGCCCTTCCACAGCCCATGTAGCTGGTTACTTTGGTGTGAGTTCCAGAACCCAGGATTCTCTGTTCACAGTCAAATGCTCTTTATAACACATGGCAGGGTAAATGAAGCCCAAAAGAAATTAATTCAAGAGATACTGTAATGACTGCCTGGTTTATACAGTGAAATGCACTAAACCCTTGTGGGAAAAGTGGGTATTCCAAAAAGCTTAGCACTTTCCTTAAAGAAATAGACAGTCTGAGTTCAGGGCCACACCACGCCTGCCCTGAAAATCAACACAAGGCTTAAAGCATGGTTCAAGATACTCATACAGGAAATAAAAGCACATGACTAGTTTGCTTACTGATATGTGTACAATATGTTTTAAGAAAACACTAAAGAAAGATGAGGAGGTATGAACATGCTCTCAGAAGGAAGTGGAAGTTGAATTGGATCTCAGAGAATGGATGGGACCCAAAGAGAGGAAACGGGGAAGATGCTATTGAAGGAAGATAAGGAAGTATAAATCATTCACATCTGTAAAGTACTGTCCCTCCAAATGATGAATATGTTAACATTTGTATTAGGTGAGAGATACTATCCCCAAGAGTGATTATCATTTAGGGATAGCAATGACATGTATATTTCCTATCCTGGTTGCATTCCGAAGGAACAAACAAACAACTATTAAGTCAGTGCTTTACTTATTTATTTTTTGCCCTTTCCTTCCACAAAGTAACTGAGGCAAATACAAAAATATATATAAAAATCACATAAAATAAATTACTGAGGGAAAATAATAAGCCCAAGAGGAAGAGGAAGACTAGCCAACAGAGAAGCATAGTATACAAGACCAAGCAGCTGTTCATCAAGGGCACAACTTTGACTAGCAAAGAAATTTATCCATCACTTAGAAACAAATCTGTAATTCAGGAGAGGACTTTTGTCTTTGTGTTTGCATAAAGAAGTCACCTGATGATGTACAGGTGATGGCTGTAACTCCATCCCCAAGCCCAGAGTTATGAAGAATAATTACACATAGCTGTTTTTTTACAATGTCACTTACTGTAGGACAAAAACAGTGCCGAGGCACAACCTGCTAAAGGCAATTCTATGAGGGGCCTCAAGTGGTGTGCCCTGCATGCCCCAGATCTAGGATGATCTCAGCATCTTTTTTTTTTTATAGTGTAATGTATTTTAATAGCAAACTTACAGGAACAGCACAGAAGACAGACAACATTAAAAACATGTACTTGCATGTAGGACAACTCAGTTAGAAAAGTATAGCAAATGGAGAGATCTACTGTATGATAAAAATGCTACAAACACCATTTAGTTGCCGTCAATAAGAAATTTACTTGTTTTAAAAAAATCCAAATGCTGGCATTGTCCAGAAAAATTTAACAGGTTTATTTATAATTTATTTATAATTGTTATAAAGTTGAACTGCTGAAACATTTTGACTTGCATTAATGCTTTATGTCCCCACATTTATATTAAAAATTCACACACAAATGACAGTGGAAAACCTGCCAATACCTGATTTCTGTCCCCTATTTTTCCACTTGCAATCATATACTTAGGTACCTTTTGACCCCATGGAAAAAAAATATCTAACGTTCAGAACTACCAATAACAGGAAGAAGAGAAATTTTTTTTTTTTTTTTAAAGAATGAAATGTTTTCCATCATGGTGGATTCTTAAACACGTTCTCCACGTATGCGGCGCGCTAGCTGGATGTCTTCTGGCATAATGGTGACACGTTTGGCATGGATAGCACACAGGTTGGTGTCTTCAAAGAGACCCACCAGATAGGCCTCACTTGCCTCCTGCAAAACACCAATAGCTGCACTCTGGTAGCGCAGATCTGTTTTGAAGTCCTGAGCAATTTCTCGCACCAGACGCTGGAAAGGAAGTTTGCGGATCAGAAGTTCGGTGGACTTCTGATAACGTCTAATTTCACGAAGTGCCACAGTACCAGGCCTGTAACGATGAGGTTTCCTCACCCCACCCAGTAGAGGGCGCACTCTTGCGAGCGGCTTTTGTAGCCAGTTGCTTCCTTGGTGCTTTACCACTGGTCGATTTGCAGGCAGTCTGCTTTTTACGAGCCATGGTACAGAAACCTCCTTACTTACCCCCTTCTCCTTCGGCTAGAGCTCGGTGAGCTAGAGGCGGCGCTGGCATTGGCGAGCGACGGCTGAACATTTTTTTTTAAGATTTTATTTATTTATTCATGAGAGACAGACAGAGAGGGAGGGAGGCAGAGGAAGAGGCAGAGGGAGAAGCAAGCTCAATCCCAGGACCCTGGGATCATGACCTGAGCTGAAGGCAGACGCTTAACTGACTGAGCCACCCAGGCACCCCTGATCTGAACATCTTGATACAAGAGTAAAATTTCTAATATATACAGGAATGGATGGCTTACATATTCCTCGGTTTATACTCATTCAAGTATTGCATGAATTTTACTGAGCACCTATTATGTGACAGCAGATAGGCAGATGGCAGTGAATGATATGGTATTGAAGGAATGCAGATACCAAATGAACAGATAAGATAAATGCTATGTCATGAAGGCTATGAAGTAATAACAATAAACATTATGTCTCAGAACTGAGCATTTGATGGCAGAGAGTTCTGAGGTTACAGTCTCTGGTTAGAACTTGTGCAGCAGACAACTTCCACATTGGAGGATATTCCCTATTCTTTATAACCAGTCAAGTGGAGGCAAAGTGAGAATCCTCTTTTGAACATGAAGGAGTAAGGGTTAGGTGGACCTAGAGAACACTGATGGACAGAGAGAGTGCCTTTTTAAGCAAGAAGCTCTGTGTCTGCTTCAATACATAAACCAATGGGCTGGGGATGCCTGATATATACCATAGAGCATGCCCAACATTATTTAAGATATTAAAAACAAAAAACCCTCATGCTTTAAAATCACATACACAGCCATAGACACATTCCCTAAAATATCTAAAGACTGTCCTAATTTTGCTTCCTGGTGGATCTTTCAGGATTAAATGACCACAAATTACAGCCCTTGGTGAGCTGCAGGATAGAACCATTTACTGACTATAAGTCAATTGAATGTTGAGAACCTCTGTCAAAAATGTTGAGTTTGATTTTAAAGATATTCTCTCTGGCAAAAAAAAAAAATATATATATATATATATATATATATATATAGAGAGAGAGAGAGAGAGAGAGAGAGGACCTGTTAGACAACAGGAGTCTGCTTGAGTTTCTCTCCCTCTGACCCCCCTCCCGTACCCACTTGCATGAGAGTGCACTCTCTCTCTCTCTCTCTCTCTCTCATTAAAATAAATAAATAAATCTTAAAAAAAAATGTTCTCCCTAAAGATGCCATCATCACAGCTGTCCTTGACCTTCTAAGAGGTATTAAGATGCAGATTCTGTAAGATTATCAATAATTGGATCCAACTGAGTTGTGACATAACCAATTCTTAAGCAAAGCCTGAAGAAAAATTAATAAAAGCTGCAAACAGCAACACACAAAGGAATGAAACTGGATCATTTTCTTACACTACAAACAAAAATAAATTCAAAATGGATTAAAGACCTAAATGTGAGACTTGAAACCATAAAAATCCTAGAAGAGAACATAGGCAATAACTTTTCTGACATCGGCTGTAGCAATTTTTTTTCTAGATATGTCCCCTAAGGCAAGAGAAACAAACTAAAAAATAAATTATTGGAACTACATCAAAATAAAAAGCTTCTGCACAGGAAAGGAAACAATCAACAAAACTAAAAGGCAACCTACTAAATGCAAGAAGATATTTGCAAATGGCATAGCTGATAAAGGGTTAGCATCCAAAATACATAAAGAAGTGATACAACTCAACACTCAAAAACCAAATAATCCAATTAAAAAATGGGCAGAAGACATGAACAGACATTTCTCCGAAGAAGACATCCAGATAGCCAACAGACATATGAAAAGATGCTCAACACCACTTGTCATCAGGGAAATGCAAATCAAAACTACCATGAGATACCACCTAACTCCTGTCAGAATTGCTAAAATCAGCAACACAAGAAACAAGTGTTGGCAAGGATGTGGAGAAAAAGGAACCCTCTTGCACTCTTGGTGGGAATGCAAACTGGTGCAGCCACTGTGGAAAACAGTATGGAGGTTCCTACCCAATGAGAAATTGAACCACTGGGTATTTGCCCAAAGAATACAAAACACTAATTCAAAGGAATACATGCACCCCTATGTTGTTGGTGGCATTATTTATAATAGCCAAATATGGAGGCAGCCCAAGCGTCCATCAATAGATGTGTGGATAAAGAAGTGATATAATTATTGAGCCATATAAAAGAATGAAACCGTGCCATTTGCAATGACATGGATGGAACTAGAGAGTATTATGCTAAGTGAAATAGTCAGAAAAAGACAAATATGATCTGATTTCACTCATATGTGGAATTTGAAAAACAAAACAGGAAAGGTAAAAAGAGAGAGAGACACACACACGCGTGCACACACACACACACACCAGGAAACACACTCTTAACTACAGAAAGCAGATTGGTGGTTAGCAGAGGTAAGGGGGGAGGGAACGGGTGCAATAGGTGATGGGGACTAAGGAGGGCCCTTGTCATGGAGAACACTGGGTGATGTATGGCAGTGTTGAGTTACTATATCATACACCTGAAGCTAGTATGACACTGTATGTTAACTAACTGAAATTAAAAATTTCCTAAAAAGTTGCAAACTATCTTATATTGTTCATGAAATATTTTTCCCTAAGGTTATAAAAAATATATCGATATAATGGATTATTCTGACCTAAAACTTACCTAACCTGGAGTAGCAAATATATGTATGTGATATATGTGTAAGAAATTCTAATCGAAAGAAAATAGTTATGGGAATTACCTGTTAATTATGACCTTACAAATTAAAACCATTCTATGAAAATTCGTGCAATCTTAATTTAGAAATGTGACGATAAATTTTTAAAAATATGGTGTGAAATTAAATGGAAGCAATTACTTGCTCAGCCAATAAAGAAGCAAAGCTTGGCTACCCATCTGACTCTAGAACATATTTAATGGAATCCTTCGGTAAGATGACACCAGCTTCTTTTTCCTCCTGGGATCAACAGATTATGAGAGGGAGACAAAGAACACCTTTTAAAAGTACTGTGTCTAAATACTTTGATCAGATTTCAATAGTATCTAATTTCTTTTAGCAAAAGTTAAGTGATTTACTCTAGATTTACACTGAAAGTTGATGAAACCAGGCTTTCTCAAGGTGCTGAGAGATTCCCATGTCTGCTCACCAGAATAAGATGATAAGATTTAAGTGAAGTGGCGGGTCATTTTCAGGATCCTCTACCTGCATTCCTGCTGTGCTGCTGGGGAGTTTTGTTGGGGACTCTACAAATTGTTCACCAGACCTTCACCTCACCCTCAGCAGAGCATCATCCAGGGCAACACGGGTGGCTGGGGCCAGAGTCAGAGAATCGGGAGGATGACTTGGGTCTCTGGGGCACTAATCATACCCCCGCAGGCTGTGCCCCAGAGCGGCTGAGCCACCCAACCCCACGGGCCCGGCCTTGTATTGAAGGTAGATGATTTTGGGGGTGCCTGGGTGGCTCAGCTGTTGGGCCTCTGCCTTAGGCTCAGGTCATGATCCCAGGGTTCTGGGATCGAGCCCCGCCTGCTTCTCCCTCTCCCACTCCCCCTGCTTGTGTTCCCTCTCGTGGTGTCTCTCTCTGTCAAATAAATAAATAAAATCTTTAAAAAAAAAAAAGAAGGTAGGTGATTTTGGACATAATTTATACCAAAGGATAGGAAAGATCAACTATCCTAACACCGTACTTTTACTGGGAAGCGCTGGTTCTGTCTCCCACTGCTGGCTCAGAAGAGCCTGAAGTTCCCCAAGGTCTCAGAGTTACCGCTTTCTCAGTGACGATTCTCTCCTGTTGGTGCCACAGGAGCCATCGTCCAGGTGCCAATGTCTTTACAGACATCGATTGCTCTGCTACTAACTGGACTGAGCAAACGCGGCCCGAGCCCCTGCTCAGTAGGGAGCACCGTCCTTGGCACGAAGAGGGACGAGGAGCGGACTCCTCGCACCTACAGACAGCACGTGACCTGTGCTCACCGTTGCGTCAGCGAGTGTCTGCGGCGCCAAGGCTACGTGCGGAGCGTGCGCCTACGTTTTTATTAGTGGTTCATTAGTTCTCCTAGGGATCCCATGACGTGTTATTATCCTCCTATCTTCATCATTATTATTATACCCATTTTCCCCACGAGACCATTTGGATTCCGAAAAGTTAAGTGACTCCTTATAACTTGTCTTCTCCAGTGTTTCCCATCACCCCGTATGCTTAGTCTGCCCGTTTATCCGGCAATCTCCCTCTTCCTCTTCCTATACCTTGCTGCCCCAAGTGTGTTCCATGGACCCCATCTGGGCATCACCTGGGAGCTTGTTAGACATGCAGAGTCTTGGCCCCACCCAGACCTGCTGAACCAGACTCTTTATTTAACAAGCCCCCCAGGCAGTCTGCAGGCTGAGATCTCAGCCCTGCTGCTCCTGAATCACCAAAGGAGCTCCTGCTACACAACCCCTCTGGCTCCCGTCTCTGCAGGATGCAGCTCTGTAGAGGGAAAACTACTTGACTCCATAAATTTTGGTTTGTTAAGTGCCAGAGCAGCTTATTACAAGGCGATTTCAACTAGAAGGCAGTTTCCTATCACAGACATTGAAAAAAACTGTATTTCCCACACAGACCTTACATTTAATGATTGAGTTTGCAAACATTTATCACTATGTGTTATTTGCCAAGCCCTGTGTGCGGTGCAGGTCTCCGTGGTTTCCCATGGGAGGTTACTTCCTGCATATCAGCCAATTCCTGGTTTTAAAGTTGCATATTTATAATAAATTGCATCTGCAGCTCTCTACATGTTGTTTTCTTATTGATCCATTCATTTAGTCAACAAATATTTGAGGAGTGTGTGCAAAGCATTGTAGAAGTCCATTATGTTTACACGTACTCAGCTTTTACCTTAAATTATCTGCTGAAATAATTCTTCAATGGGTATATATATATATATCTATAAAAACATATATCTAAATATATATATAGGTATATATAATGGTATA